TTTTGGACCAGCTAGACTCTGTGTCCTGCTGGAGGAGGGGGGCAGTGGGGGTACAGCTGGAAGGTGAGGCAGGCAGGAGAGCTGCAGGATAGATGGGGTGTGCAGCCTCAGCTAGGCCATCAGGCTCACTGGGAAATGGGGGAGAAAGGCATGGGAGTTGAGATGAAAGTCGGGGATCCCTCTACTTGGGGCAGCAGGAGGAACTGCCCCCGGACCCTCAGACAGAGGAAGAGCTCTGGTCCCCTCCCACATGCCCCCTGCCTCCCCTCACCCATGGTGCACTCTGCCTCCCGAGTAGGGGACCAGCAAGGGGCAACTGTGTGAGGGGATGGACTGACCACAGGCCCAGATGGCTGCGGAGCAGTGCCTGGCAGGTGGTGAGGAGCCTCATCCTGGCCCCAGTGGCCCTCGGCCAGGTGTCCAGGCTCTTTGCCCAGCCAGTGTGACAGGAAGGCCCATGAGGATCGGAACCTGAGTCTGGAGGCTCTCCTGGGGCCTACCCACTGAACCCAGAGAGAGGAGGGGGGCTGAGGACAGGGTCCAGGTGTGGCGGGTGACAAGCAGGCCATGTGGGCCATCACTCTGGGTGGAGAGGTGGACACAGAGACCCCCTACCCCCAACATCCAGCTCCTGCAGTGGGAGAATGGTGGAAGGCAGTGGTCAGCAGAAGGTCCAGGAAGGAGCCAAGGAAAGGGGGCGGGGTTTCACGTAGGTGTGCCTTGCCTGGCCTCACTGACCTCTCCGGGCAAAAGAGATGGCATGGCCCACAGGCCTGGGGAGCGTCTCCCTTGAAGAGGCCACCTCATGGGCTGAGCTGATGGGGACTGGTCTGTCCCTAGTGTCCTCATTGATGTGGTAGGGCTGTCTGCTGCCAGGTGAACCTGGTCCAGGCTGCTGCCCCTTAGCATGGGCACAGACTGCTCTCTCTCTCTGAAGGCTTGGCTTTCAGGAGCAGGGAACGGAGTGGGCAGGCGGTGAGGTGCTTGAGCTGCCTGGGCACCACGGAGGGGACCAGCCACCAGGGTCTGATCCCTCCCTTGCCTGGACCCCTCTGCCAGCAGGTCTCCTGCATCTCTGTCCCTCCTGTCCATGGTTTCGGGTGTCCCTCAGCTCCCTCGCTGTCCTGGGCTATTCTCGTGCCCAGTCCTGTCCAGGGCTGCCTTGGGCCTTGGGAGCCCTGGCTGAGGGTGCTGGGGGAGCAGGTACTCGTCAAATGGCTGTTCTTTGCACCCTGGTGGTCAGGCTGTGGAGTGAGCGCCCCTCTCTTTTCTCTGGACAGGTCTTCACACAATGAGCTGGAGAAGCACAGGTAAGACTGTCTCCTGTCATCCCCACCTGCGCGGCCTTGCATGTCTCCTCCCGCAGCCCTCCCAGGCCTGAGGTGTCCTGTCGCGCTCTCTGCCCTCCTTTTGAGAGGGTCAGCCTGGGTAGGTCTCGGCCCTGCTGTGAGCTCAGCTAGGGGGCCAGACTGTCGGGGCCAGGGACTCAGGCAGGCCCTGGGTGTTGTGGCTTCCAGGAGGAGATGGGTCCACCTGGGGGTGGTCTGAGCCCCTCAGGACCAAGGCTGCTGCCTGGAGGAGTTGGCCCTGTGGGTCAGTGGCTTCCTGTCCTCCTGGGCTTCTCTTGCAAGGAGCTAGGTCACATCTGATGGGCACGTGAACCTGGGACCCCTGAACGGCCAGGTGGGACGAGGTGTGTGGATGAACGCCCCCCAGGCTGGTCTCTGGGCCTGGCAGGTGGGTGCAGGCAGCCCCGAAGATGGGAGCATTGGGCCTGGATGAGACTGGGGCCCTTAGGAATCCTGGGCAGTAGCCTTCTCTTGCCCTCTGTTCCCAATTGTGAGATGGGTTCTTTCCTCCACCGCTTGGCTGATGGCAGGTTTCTGGATCCAAACTGATCGCTCCCACCGGCTCGGGGAAGCTTTGGCCTCCAGCCAGATCTCTGTGTCCTGCCTCCCCCCGTGTCTGTGTCCACGGCAGCGGCAACTTCCGCTGCCCCGGGATGCTGGCTTCTGGCTGGGCTGGAGCTGGGCTGGGCAGGACGCTGTGTTCTCTGGAGAGAACCGTGCTTCCTGCATGGTGTGTGTGTGTGGGTGGGGGGGGAGTTAGGGGTTCCCTAGGGGCCACCGAGGTCGGTACAGGTGCAGGGACCAAGACAGTGCCAGTCAGAGATGGATCTGGCCTTGTCAGGCACTTACTTAGGAGCCTGGGGGGATACAGTGTCCTGGGGAAAGAGGCCCTGAAGTGGGACCTGGGAAGAGAGAGGGGATGCCCTTGAGGGAGTACAGGTGGCTGGAACACACAGCCTGGGGGAGAAGGATGGGAGCTGGCTTCTGACCCCTGGTCCTGCAGCTGACCTTTGACCCTAACTTTGGTCTATACCCTCTCCTTCCAGGGCTGCCTCATGGGACCCTTTGGAGACACAGAAAGGGGTGTGACCACCTGGGTGTGCCTGGCCACTTAGCAGCAGGAAGGGCTACCCTGGCCATCCCAGGAAGGGTGGAAGCACTGGACTGTCTGCCTAGCCAGTCCCAGGAGGCAGGGCGAAGGTCCCAGCTCGGTTGGACCTCTGGCCATGTCCTCCTGTGGATGGAGCTCTGGACCCGCCCTGCCCTGTTCCTGCCCCAGCCTGTTCTTACCTATCTTCTCACAGTGGTCAGTTCCCTCAGGTCCGCTAAGGCTGCTCCTGAGGACCCATGGTGGTGTCCTCTGGCTGGTGAAAGGACCCAGCTCGCTTTCCTGCCTACCCACCATGTGGCCCCTGGCCTGTTCCCCCTTCCAGCGCTTGTCCGAGCACTTGTCTGAGCTTGGTGCATGTGCCTGGGCAGCAGCCAGGCCTGGCCTTTACAAAGCACACAGGAGTAGATGTTAATTGCCAACAGTGACACCTGGGAAACCCAGGTAAAGAGCGCTCTCCCATTCATGTCCCTTCAACTCTGCTGGGACCATCGATCTCTTCCCCAGCACCCAGGCCTGCTAGGCGGGTACTCTGCCCTGACACTCGGGGTCCCTGGCATGGAGTGGAGGTCCCCCAGGGCCCCTCTGAGCAGTGAGGGCTTGGTATGCAGATGGGGGGAGGGTATGAAGGGCTGGGCCACTGTGGACCCTTGTGCGGCCATTCCCTGGGTGGGGGGCAACTGGGGCGGGTGCAGATTTTAATGTTGCCTCTTGAATCAACAGCAAGTTCTTCCAGGAGGTGAGAGGTCTTCCGTGGGCCCTGGAACACTTAGGGGTGGGGTGGTGCTGTCAACGTCTCCTTGGCTTAGACTTTCTGCAGCCCACCCTCCATTCTCCACAGAGCTGGGGCCCTGGGGTCACCAGGACCTTGGGGCCTGTTCCCAGCCAGAAGTATAGCTCCCCAGCATTACTGCTGCCCTCAGCTACCCTCCGAGACCCTCGACTTAGGGATGAGCAGCCCCCTCAGCTGTCCTCTGGCTTTCCTTCTGGGCTTCTATGCCCCCTGCACCCAGCCTGAGTCGTAGGACATACCCCACAGTTCCAGCTCTGTGTCCCCAGGACGGGTGGACATGGCGTAGTGTTTTCATGCTGCAGATGGGCTCTCGCTGTTCCTGGGAGATCTGCCTGGTGATTTCTAAGTGGTCTGTTGGAGTGGCGGACCTCTGGGCAGCACCTGTTGAACCTGCCCCAGTGGACGGCTCCTTGGGGAACCTACGGGCTAACTCGGATAGGATGGGCTCATGTGAGCTGGCATTTCCTAACTCGCGTTTTTCACAGGACGCTGCTGAATTGCGTCATGTCCACGCGGTCTCTGATGCTCGCACAGTGCCCTCAGCCGGCCGGGCT